ACACTATCAACTAGGGCTGCATGATTCTGGCAAAAATGTGGGTCCCACTTTACATTAGGTGGCCTTAGTAACTATGTACCTACAGCCCAAATTACACATTTGGTACAGTGTACTTACATTGTACCTTCATGTTCTTACATTGTACTTACATTTAAAGTACACACATGCTTAATATGTAGTTACAAAAGTGTACTTACATATATAGGCTAATTTGTAAGTACACATTTTATAAGTACATATTTGTAAGTACGTATTTGTAAGTACATTATTTTTAAGTACACGTTTGTAAGTACACAACATATTTGCTATTGCTATTTTTTTTTCTTTTTGGCAAACATATTTTTTTTTTACTTCTATTACACAACAAAGAATTATTGTTTATGGTTACCGCAAGGTGTGCAATATCCTTATTATTCAAAGATGCAACTAATGTTTGCAAAATACATACAGTTGTAAATGTTCATTCAGTTCATTCATTTAATTTATTTGTGTCAGGAAAGAGTCGTTTATTTATTTATGTTGTGGTGTGCACTTCACCTGTTGTAAATAATGCACATAAACTGCACCATCTATTCAGCAAAACGTTTTATTTGTAAACAGTAGTTAATATGCAAAAAATTAGAGGAAATAGCAATGAAAAATATATTTTATAGCATATATAATCTTTGTTTATGTTAGCAAAATGGTTCTCACTTATGTTGTACAGCATTAAATAATGTAAAAATACACATAACTTGATATTACAAATCTAGTAAATTCAATGGTCAACAGTAACTACGATTAATAAATTATGTCAACGTATTAGTTAACTCTTGTTAACTAAGTAAATTTTGTTGTAAAGGGTGGGACCATTTGGACACTCAGGAATATGTACTTAACTACTGTGTATACTACACTGAAAATACACTAAATCTGCCCTCAAAATACAGTGAGGAACCATTGTTGATACACAGGAACTATCGTGTACTTACACTGAAAATACACTAAATCAGCCCTCTTAAAATACAGTGAGGAACCATTGTTGATACACAGGAACTACCATGTACTTACATTGAAAAATGCAATAAATCTGCCCTCTTGAAATACAGTGAGAAACCATTGTTGATACACAGGAACTACCGTGTACTTACACTGAAAATACACTAAATTTGCCCTTTTAAGATACAGTGAGGAACCCTTGTTGATACACAGGAACAACCATGTACTTACACTGAAAATACACTAAATCTGCCCTTTTAAGATACAGTGAGGAACCCTTGTTGATACACAGGAACTACCGTGTACTTACACTGAAAATACAATAAATTTTCCCTTTTAAGGTACAGCGAGGAACCCTTGTTGATACTCAGGAGCTACTGTGTACTTACACTGAAAATACACTAAATCCGCTCTCTTAAGATACATTGAGGAACCATTGTTGATACACAGGAACAATCATGTACTTACCCTGAAAATACACTAAATTTGCCCTCTTAAAATACAGTGAGGAACCATTGTTGATACTCAGGAACGACCGTGTACTTACAATAAAAATACACAAAAAAAATACCCTCTTAAAATACAGTGCAGAACTTGTAGTCCAAGGAAATAATGTGATACTAAACTGAAAAAACAGGAAATATACATTTTAATACATAGAATTTACATGCTAAATTTACAAAGATGACATTAAAATTCGCATTCGTTTGTTATAGATAAGAAAGAATAAAGCACTCTGGATCTACATATATTTACCCAATTTCTTAGTAGTACAACTCTTTATGGTTGCTAATTAACAGATTTTGAAATGTTTCCTAATGTCACGAAACAGTTGAGCAAGTACTCCTGCTTTGTTTTGTTTGCCTAACCATTGATACCACTGAATACATTTCAAATGCTCTTTCAAGAGCTGTTTGCTTTTGTTGCCTCTTTGCTTGTTAACCTGTGACTTGATGCTTTGCCATGCACGTTCTATGTGCTGTGTATGGCAACCAGTGTATGGATTAACAAAGTTTTCTGAATGGTTCACAGTAAAATGCCTGTACCCATGTCTAGGAAGAGCCTGAGCATATGCTCTCCAACAGTCACTGAAAATGGTAGATCCTCTTCTTGCGTGCCTTCTGATAATGGGCACAAGAGTCTGTCTTGAGCGGTTTTTGACTATCTTTAAAACTGGCAAACGTCTTTGGCCCTTGATTTCCAGCATTCCAAACACCCAGCTGTTTCTTCTCCATGTAGAACGAAAACGACCACGGTTATACTAAAAACAAAACAACATTTTTTTAGATTATAGGGTATACAGGAATCATGTTTTTATTAATATAATTTGAATACATTGTAAGACCTTTTTAAGACTCTTTTCATACATTTTAAGACCTCGTCGCCACTTTAGATTTTAACCAGTAACATTGGTGAAATTTTATGTTGAAGTATATTTACTGAATACTAACTTTTTAAAAGCCCATCTAACAAATCTTGTGACAGCTCCTTATCAATTAAACATATTTTAAAAGGTTAGGAAACGAAGCACAAGATAATTATTTGAGATACTACCCCTTTGCAAATTTAAATATTAAGTAATAAAAATAATATAAAAAATACATGTATAATAAAAACATATGGCCTTGGAACTCAACAATCAAAACCTATTAATACTTTTTAAGGGCTTTAATTTTCTCTAAAATGATTTTAATATTTTTTAAGAATTCGCAGACATCCTGAATTAAGATGACTTAATCATTTAAAATGGATTAAGCCAAATATCAAGTATTTAATTAACTTATAAAACAATTAAATAATTTGTTTAATATATATTTATACAACAGGTCTGTCTGGTTCTTAAATCTGATCGACTGATAGCCATGTGATATTCTGCAATAACAGCATTTGTACTCCTTACTCTTCTGAAATTCTCCGCCCACGTACAGCGACAAGGACACTTTACAGTTTGACAAATATTGCAGCTATTAGACAACATTTTGTACTTTTATGGTTTTTTTAGTCAAGGATGTAGTTATTTAGATTGCACCCATGCAGTTTATTTATAAGGATAGTGCCTATTTCAAAATATTTATAATTTATAATATAAGAGATTCTAAGTGCGTTGGCATCATTAGCCAAAGACGGTTGACGTTGTCTATCCACAAGATGGCGCCAGGAGCACATAAGCCCTTGCTTAGAAGATTAATAGAGTGATAACTACAGCTGATTAAATCATTATTAAACAGGTAAGTGATATTCTAAGTCGATCTCTCTCTTTTGAATAGATTACAACTATGCAGTTTATTTATAAGGACAGTGTCTATTTTAATACAGTTACTTTCCTATTCCCTTTTTCAAAAGTGTTATTCAGAGACCTCACCCCCGAACACCCCCTCCTTATCGCAAACAAAACAGCAGTCTGGTAGTGATTGTGCTGCTTTTTTTGGGGTTAATTATTGTGATATCTCGATTGCAACAGAAAAATACTGTAGACTGTAACACTGTAATAAAATATCTCTGTAGACAGAGGGCATTTCATGTCAAGTTCAGCCTTATAATCTTAAAATGTCAGCAAAATCACCTGTTTTGTCATCACTTTATACATTACGCATGAGAATCATTCAAACACTAGCTCTAAAGTGAGGTTGGTGACTTAGTAATGGCTTCTGCTGTTTTGACGTCAGCTGCAGATGTGAATGAATGGCGGAAGAAAGTAGTTCCTAATACAAAAGGGTTTTTAGACTTTCTGTGTTTGATTTTCTTTTTTTTATATAGACAATTGTGCCGTCGAACTGTTGTATAAACACAATATCACACTCATAGCAGTGCGATAAGGCTGTATATCAGCACTGGTGGGACACTAAAGCACGCCTCCCACCAGTGCTGATATACAGCCATATCGCACTGCCTATAAATCTGACTTCAACTGTATATTGACTTAAGTAAAAAAAAAAACTAAAATAAAATAAAAAATCTCTCCCTGTTTTAATTAACCTCATTTGTTCATGCTCCATTTACCTTTCTTTTATGCGCAAACTTAGACTCATCAATAGAAATAAACTTGCGTCTTGATTTTCCACCCATTCTAAGACCAGTTCTTCTTCTCAGTCTCTGTAGTGCAGCTACGCATATCTGAACAACATATAAGAGAAATATTAATTATTGACATTTATGAACTGACATGTTTAATTGCTTTGTTTCCAAATGCATTATTCTAAAGTATCAAACCTTCCTAATGGCATTTGTCATCCGGGAAAGTGTTCTTGAACTGCTAGCTATCTTATCCTTATCCACAAGGAGTTGGAGTCCTTGTGCAAATCTGAGAATAAAGAGCACATCACAAGTACTGCCTCTGTCTGCTCTAGGTTGTACAATTATTACAGACATATTACATCACTGTACAGATATATATATATATATATATATATATATATATATATATATATATATATATATATATATATATATATATATATATATAATTTATTTATAATAATATATAATTTTATTTTTTTACCACTCACCGGTAAATAAATTCCAACCACTTAATGAGATGTACTCTGCTTTGGCTAAAAAGTGAACCTTTTCTCACTGATGATGAAACTTTGCGATGACCCTTTCTTCTGCACAACCTATAAAAAAAAAAAACCAGTAAATCATAAAAACATACTAACAGCCAATCATGTATTTCCTATTTTAAGGCAATATTTCCTAAATATTATACAATCATTTTGTAATATGTAAGGTTCATGACCAAAAGGCTAAGATAAATATAAAAATAACACAACCAATATATTTGTCTGTAAATAAAATATATTATTTATTTTTATTCATCCCTTTGTAATACTGTAACGTTAACGTTACTGCATATTTATTCATGTGCTTGTAATACGTCTCAAAAAAAGTTTGTCATCTGATTTTTATCTGTGTTTTTTTTATTTATTTGTATGTATATTATGTGTGTGTTTTGTATGAAGCATTGCCACAATAAATACAAATTAAAGACCTATTATAAGATTTGTATAAATATATACTATATATAGTAACATGGCACAATGTACAGTAACTTAGTACTCTACTTACCATATATAACCGTCGCTACTCTTGTAACTGGTCAGCTTCATTTCCTTTCTGCAAACGCGGCAGGTTGGTGCACCATGGAGCAGTCTCTTCTTGATAAACCATTTTATTAAACTTTTCTGATGATGAGATCCTCTTCTACAGCGATGTAAAAGGTGGTGTATTTGCTCAGATAAATTCATTTTAATCGCATCGTAAAACTGCATACATCTACTTTTCTAAATATATTTGAAATGCAGGAGTGAAATGCGGGAGCGAAACATCCAATCAGAGGTCTGCATTTGATGACGTATATACTTTCAGAGACGTGTTGCGCGCATGCGTGACTTACCTGGCGCCTGGGGGTCATAATTATTCGAATTTCAACGGCTGGCGACGACACATTGGAGGAATGGCAGATAAATAATTACGTCTTTAATATACGTATATGTATTATTGTCAAATGATGTACTTTGTTTCCACAGTATACGGAAATAGTGGAAAAAAAGACTTCATAACACTGATTCTAGAAACAGAATTTTAATTCTGAACACTTTCAGTTATGTTTCGGAAGAGGAAGACAAAAAGACTTCGCACTCTTGCAGTACCTGCATTAGGTAACTTACAACAACACTATTATCGTACTGTAACATTAATGTTTCCTTGATTGTAACGTTAGCACATAAATTGACCCTTTTCACAAGACTGTTATGACGCGCTAACGGTCGTCATAAGCTGAAATCCTTGAAAGTTTTTAATACTTTGATTTCTAAAAAGAAACGTGTCATATTTGTGTCAAATTACAATTAAATGCAAGGTTTTTCTAATGCAGTGTCTATGAGGTTGAAAGTAAATTGTTTTCTCTTTATCTGAAAGTCTTGATAACACCATTGTGGAGTATTTAGTGTATTATTTCAGCAAATAGGACTGTAAAAAGATTCATTGTTGCCATAGTCTTTCATCATTTACTGGCTTATCTACAGATATAAATGCCGTTGTCACAGATGAGGACAGAGAGGTAACATTCTCCAAGCAGTCAGTGGACTGTGAAAACAAACCAGGTACATATGATATTTTGGGACATTTCTAAATTCTAATGTTATTCTAAGCCTAACGTTACTTTTTGTGTTTCCATTTATAAATTATCCATTTTATTTACTGTGCTCGGCATAAATGAGTACACCCTCACAAATCTCTCTTTAAATTAATATTATCTATAGGACGCTGTGCAATAATATATTTGTGCATATACTATACTTTATCAGTTCCAAAACTGGAACTAGTTTAACAAAATATCTTAATATAACAGTCCAAATATGTGTACTGTACACCCAAATTAATTTGTTGTGGAAAAATATGAAATAATAAAAAAAAGTTGTTTGTTTGTTTGCACAACCGCATGTGAAACTGATTGTCAATCAGTGTTGCTTCCTAAGTGAGAAATTGGTGTACTCATTAATGCTGCTCACTGTAGTTTGTCTATATAAGTGTAAGGTTTTAACAAATAGGTGATGATTAAAAGGATAGTTCAACCAAAACTAAAAATTGTCATCATTTACTCATCTTTAAGTGGTTCCAAACCTGTTTGAGTTTCTTTCCTATTTTAAACAAAGAAAGTGTCACATCCGTCTGTGACCACCTGAGGGCGCTGTAGCGCTCTAGGACTTTGTAGGCGCTACAGTGCCCCAGGAAAAAACTACATTTTCATACATGCCCCGCGCACACACCGGAACACCTACACTGACCTGCCATCACATCTGTTTTGTGTTACCGTTGATTATCTGGACTATATATTCTACCATTCCACCTATGTTTGTCATCGCGTCGTTGTCTTCCTTGTCTCCCTGCTCCTAGTAAGTTTGTTCCTGATCTTGCCTTGTAGTTTGCCAAAGTCTAGTTCGTGTTATCCGTCTTGTTTTGTTGTTGATTTGTTACTTTGTATTTTTGAGATTTTGTATTTTTTTTGGTCACTGTTTTCTGCACTTAAGATTTATTAAATCTGCACTTGGATCCGCACCTTTTGTTTATTGTTTTTGATCACGCTTACGTGACAGAACGACGCGATCAATAAATGGATCCAGCAGATAGTTTAATTATGCTTCTAAAGCAAGGTAACCGCTCCATAGAGCGTTACATTAAAGATTTTTTGGAGCTTGCCCCGAAGAGCTCTCATAGTGACTTGTTGCTTATGATGTTCTTTCGGGGAGGACTATTGGAACCAGTACGATCCCAAATGCCACCATATGAGGAAGACTGGAACCTGTATCGGTTCATTGAGGCAGCTTTAATGATCTCTGGCTCCCCTCTCTCTGTTGCCCTGAAAGAGGAGAACCCTCAGGAGGGAGGCCTGAGTGGAGGGCAACAGAGAGGGATATTTTCGGGGCCAGCGGATTTGTCTAAGGGAGGGAGGAGAGAGGCTGGACTGGAGTTGCGGGCTTATCTGCGTCGGGCTGTTCGCAAACCACCCTTTTCGGAGCCTCTGGAGAGCCTTCTGGAATTGTGTGATAAACCAGTGTCCATCCTAGTCCCACAAAGCCCGCCAGTGTCAGCTCCAGTTCCAGAGCAAGCTCCTTCTCCAGATGACACTGCTCTCACGTCTAAAACCACCAGACGAGGGAGGCGCAGGAAGAGGATGGCTCCAGCCCCAGAGCGCCCGCCAGTGTCGGCTCCAGCCCCAGAGCGCCCGCCAGTGTCGGCTCCAGCCCCAGAGCGCCCGCCAGTGTCGGCTCCAGCCCCAGAGCGCCCGCCAGTGTCGGCTCCAGCCCCAGAGCGCCCGCCAGTGTCGGCTCCAGCCCCAGAGCGCCCGCCAGTGTCGGCTCCAGCCCCAGAGCGCCCGCCAGTGTCGGCTCCAGCCCCAGAGCGCCCGCCAGTGTCGGCTCCAGCCCCAGAGCGCCCGCCAGTGTCGGCTCCAGCCCCAGAGCGCCCGCCAGTGTCGGCTCCAGCCCCAGAGCGCCCGCCAGTGTCGGCTCCAGCCCCAGAGCGCAGTACAATGCCAGTTCCAGTCCGGCCCCTGGCTTTACCGGCCTCACCCAGGCTCCTCGCCCTGCCGGCCTCAGCCCAGCTCCTGGCATTACCAACGCCATCCAGACGTCTTGCCCTGCCGGCACCTCCCAGACGTCTTGCCCTGCCGGCCCCAGCCCGGCTCCTCGCCCTGCCGGCCCCAGCCCGGCTCCTGGCATTACCAACGCCACCCAGACGTCTTGCCTTGCCGGCACCTCCCAGACGTCTTGCCCTGCCGGCCCCAGCCCGGCTCCTCGCCCTGCCGGCCCCAGCCCGGCTCCTGGCATTACCAACGCCACCCAGACGTCTTGCCCTGCCGGTCCCAGTCCGGCTCCATGCCCTGCCGGCTCCAGTCCAGCTGCCTCCAGTCCCGCCGGCTCCAGTCCAGCTGCTTCCAGTCCCGCCGGCTCCAGTCCAGCTGCCTCCAGTCCCGCCGGCTCCAGTCCAGCTGCCTCCAGTCCCGCCGGCTCCAGCCCAGCTGCCTCCGGCTCCAGCCCAGCTGCCTCCGGCTCCAGCCCAGCTGCCTCCGGCTCCAGCCCAGCTGCCTCCGGCTCCAGCCCAGCTGCCTCCTGTCCCGCCGGCTCCTGTCCAGCTGCCTCCAGTCCCGCCGGCTCCTGTCCAGCTGCCTCCAGTCCCGTCGGCTCCTGTCCAGTTGCCTCTCCTGCTGGCTCTCTTGGGGTTCCCTGCCTTGTGTTTTCTGCAGGATCGTCCGTGGGTCATCCCTCCCGCCCCTCCCTGGTGGTCCTCCCCATTTTGGACTGATTCCCCGGCTGCACCCTGGCTTCCTGCTGGAGTGCCTGACCCTAATCTGGCCCTCCCATCCCTCCCTTTGTTCCTGCTCCGCTCCGCCCCCCCTCTTGGAACCAGTCTGGGAGCGTCTGGAAGCCGCTCTTTAGAGCGGGGGTAATGTCAGATCCGTCTGTGACCACCTGAGGGCGCTGTAGCGCTCTAGGACTTTGTAGGCGCTACAGTGCCCCAGGAAAAAACTACATTTTCATACATGCCCCGCGCACACACCGGAACACCTACACTGACCTGCCATCACATCTGTTTTGTGTTACCGTTGATTATCTGGACTATATATTCTACCATTCCACCTATGTTTGTCATCGCGTCGTTGTCTTCCTTGTCTCCCTGCTCCTAGTAAGTTTGTTCCTGATCTTGCCTTGTAGTTTGCCAAAGTCTAGTTCGTGTTATCCGTCTTGTTTTGTTGTTGATTTGTTACTTTGTATTTTTGAGATTTTGTATTTTTTTTGGTCACTGTTTTCTGCACTTAAGATTTATTAAATCTGCACTTGGATCCGCACCTTTTGTTTATTGTTTTTGATCACGCTTACGTGACAGAACGACGCGATCAATAAATGGATCCAGCAGATAGTTTAATTATGCTTCTAAAGCAAGGTAACCGCTCCATAGAGCGTTACATTAAAGATTTTTTGGAGCTTGCCCCGAAGAGCTCTCATAGTGACTTGTTGCTTATGATGTTCTTTCGGGGAGGACTATTGGAACCAGTACGATCCCAAATGCCACCATATGAGGAAGACTGGAACCTGTATCGGTTCATTGAGGCAGCTTTAATGATCTCTGGCTCCCCTCTCTCTGTTGCCCTGAAAGAGGAGAACCCTCAGGAGGGAGGCCTGAGTGGAGGGCAACAGAGAGGGATATTTTCGGGGCCAGCGGATTTGTCTAAGGGAGGGAGGAGAGAGGCTGGACTGGAGTTGCGGGCTTATCTGCGTCGGGCTGTTCGCAAACCACCCTTTTTGGAGCCTCTGGAGAGCCTTCTGGAATTGTGTGATAAACCAGTGTCCATCCTAGTCCCACAAAGCCCGCCAGTGTCAGCTCCAGTTCCAGAGCAAGCTCCTTCTCCAGATGACACTGCTCTCACGTCTAAAACCACCAGACGAGGGAGGCGCAGGAAGAGGATGGCTCCAGCCCCAGAGCGCCCGCCAGTGTCGGCTCCAGCCCCAGAGCGCCCGCCAGTGTCGGCTCCAGCCCCAGAGCGCCCGCCAGTGTCGGCTCCAGCCCCAGAGCGCCCGCCAGTGTCGGCTCCAGCCCCAGAGCGCCCGCCAGTGTCGGCTCCAGCCCCAGAGCGCCCGCCAGTGTCGGCTCCAGCCCCAGAGCGCCCGCCAGTGTCGGCTCCAGCCCCAGAGCGCAGTACAATGCCAGTTCCAGTCCGGCCCCTGGCTTTACCGGCCTCACCCAGGCTCCTCGCCCTGCCGGCCTCAGCCCAGCTCCTGGCATTACCAACGCCATCCAGACGTCTTGCCCTGCCGGCACCTCCCAGACGTCTTGCCCTGCCGGCCCCAGCCCGGCTCCTCGCCCTGCCGGCCCCAGCCCGGCTCCTGGCATTACCAACGCCACCCAGACGTCTTGCCTTGCCGGCACCTCCCAGACGTCTTGCCCTGCCGGCCCCAGCCCGGCTCCTCGCCCTGCCGGCCCCAGCCCGGCTCCTGGCATTACCAACGCCACCCAGACGTCTTGCCCTGCCGGTCCCAGTCCGGCTCCATGCCCTGCCGGCTCCAGTCCAGCTGCCTCCAGTCCCGCCGGCTCCAGTCCAGCTGCTTCCAGTCCCGCCGGCTCCAGTCCAGCTGCCTCCAGTCCCGCCGGCTCCAGTCCAGCTGCCTCCAGTCCCGCCGGCTCCAGTCCAGCTGCCTCCGGCTCCAGCCCAGCTGCCTCCGGCTCCAGCCCAGCTGCCTCCGGCTCCAGCCCAGCTGCCTCCGGCTCCAGCCCAGCTGCCTCCTGTCCCGCCGGCTCCTGTCCAGCTGCCTCCAGTCCCGCCGGCTCCTGTCCAGCTGCCTCCAGTCCCGTCGGCTCCTGTCCAGTTGCCTCTCCTGCTGGCTCTCTTGGGGTTCCCTGCCTTGTGTTTTCTGCAGGATCGTCCGTGGGTCATCCCTCCCGCCCCTCCCTGGTGGTCCTCCCCATTTTGGACTGATTCCCCGGCTGCACCCTGGCTTCCTGCTGGAGTGCCTGACCCTAATCTGGCCCTCCCATCCCTCCCTTTGTTCCTGCTCCGCTCCGCCCCCCCTCTTGGAACCAGTCTGGGAGCGTCTGGAAGCCGCTCTTTAGAGCGGGGGTAATGTCAGATCCGTCTGTGACCACCTGAGGGCGCTGTAGCGCTCTAGGACTTTGTAGGCGCTACAGTGCCCCAGGAAAAAACTACATTTTCATACATGCCCCGCGCACACACCGGAACACCTACACTGACCTGCCATCACATCTGTTTTGTGTTACCGTTGATTATCTGGACTATATATTCTACCATTCCACCTATGTTTGTCATCGCGTCGTTGTCTTCCTTGTCTCCCTGCTCCTAGTAAGTTTGTTCCTGATCTTGCCTTGTAGTTTGCCAAAGTCTAGTTCGTGTTATCCGTCTTGTTTTGTTGTTGATTTGTTACTTTGTATTTTTGAGATTTTGTATTTTTTTTGGTCACTGTTTTCTGCACTTAAGATTTATTAAATCTGCACTTGGATCCGCACCTTTTGTTTATTGTTTTTGATCACGCTTACGTGACAGAAAGACACTTTAAAGAAAATCTGTAACCATCCACTTACATACAATTAGTTTTTTTTTACTATGAAGTTTAATGGTTACAAGGTTTTAGCTTTCTTCAAAATATCTTTTGTTATTTTAACCACTTGAGGGTGAGTAATTAGTAAGTATATTTTAGTATATATCAAGTTTAATAGTTATTTGTAATGTTATCATACAATTTGCTGCACTCACTGTAACTATGTTAATTCTGTTTCACAGAAGACTCAAGCCCAGTTGCCAGCTATTCTTTGGATGAAAGTGAGAAGGGTGAGATCAAATAACTGTATGGCTACAAAATTAAAAGACAGTTATTTCAAACCTGACCTTTGATAGAGCCTATATAACGAGTGGCAGAACATACAGTAAATTTGAATGTCTGTGTTAAGGACTCCAGGCAGCTTCAGAAGGTCCAACTGTGGAAATTCTTTTGGAAAAGATAAAATCTCTAGAGGAAGAGCGTGACTTTCTAAGACGCACACTTGGATCTGTTTGTGGTGAGTAATGCTAAGCTATAAGTAGGTCCACACGGAATCTGCGCGCAGAATTCCGCAGATTTTTAGGTCATTATAAATTCTGTTTATTTACTTGAGCAAATGTGTAAATCTGAATTTATTCAGTTTTTATTCAGTAATTTATTATTTTTTATTTAATATATTAAAGTGTAAGTTATGATACTCCGCTGGATACTCCCAAAATAATTCCGCAGAAATCCGCAGATTTTTACCAAAATTCTCTGCAGAAATAGCAAAAAACGTCCGCAGATTCCGTCTGGCCCTGGCAATAAGATAATCATAGGCTTTATATGTAACATTACTTTTTATATAAAGCAAGAAAAATAGGTACTTAACACGTCACATTATTTCTTAGAAAGCATCTTGTTAAAGGTGTTGCTTATTTAAAAAGTTTCACCAGAGCTTAGCATCCAAAATTAATCCACATACAAATAAACAGAAGTAATTAGTTTAGAAATGTAGTTTTGTGTAATAAAATGAAATCGGGGGTGGGGTGAGGGGTCTAACCTACACAGTAAAAAAATATTGCGGCAATTAGTTATGACAACTAAAAATGTTGAGTTATGTTAACTTATTTGGATTGAATGTGTTGACATAAATTATAAATTATATCAAAGTTTTACTTGGCTAAACTTTTACTTAAAGGTGCAGTAGGTGATCTGCCAAAATGCTTAGCACATTATCTTTGGATGGCGGGGAGGGACTGTGATTCAAAGTCACGCCTCTTAAAATCGCAAGTGTGCGCACCGCGACACGACAGCAGACAACTCACCAGTTCATGACATTTGCCAGTTAGAAATGTAGTTAGTGTCTGGCTGGCGGCGTGCAGGAATTTTACTTATTAATAGCGCTATTTACTGAAGTTTTGTTGTTAAACTTGTTACTAAATGAAAACAACAGTTTAGAGCTCGTCTCCTTTATTGCATGACCACCATGGCCATTCACTAACAACAACAAAAAACTCTCGCTCACACCGGAAGTGACCTTTTAACATAACATAAAAGTCCTACTTTCTTTCTATGTGCAGCATACACATTTACGGTTGTCATCACCATGAATTGAACTTAACAAAACTAAATAAAAATCTACATTACAAGATGCTGTAAAAGGTCCTTATAAAACTGAAAATAGTTACATCAATCTTTCACTGGGAGATTTTAGTGGCTGAACAACACCTCTGTGTATACAATCCATTTTAAACACACTCTATATCATCTTTGTGGAAGAACATTACCTGTCTAACAGAAACACTTCAGCCATGGTGTCGTCCTTCCTCCAGCGTTCAAAAGTAACTCCAATATTGATTCAGGATTTTAAAAAGTTTAAATTCAGAATTTGATTTTACCGCGACAGTGAATGTCTTGTGTGCACGTGTCGTGAATGCACGGCAATCATGCAGGCGGGCACACAATAATGACGGATGCGCGTGAACAGAGATGCGCAGAAGCCCAAAACTACATTTGTTGACAGTTTGGGCTACTTATCAGAATTATGGGAAATGTCGGCCTGACAATATTTAATTTAATAAACATTTTTTAGGCTTATGCCTTACTCAGAATATAAAAATACATATAAACACATTTAGATCATTTACTTTAATCATTACTATTGGACTGTGAAGAGACTTTTAATCAGCACAACGAAAAATGTTTCTGAAGACAATCACCTACTGCACCTTTAAAGTCAAAAGTCAGCTAAATCTATATATTAGTTAAGTTAAACATTTTCAGTTAAAAATAATTCTGCTTTAAATAGTACAAATTTGTGCAAATAAAAATGTATAAATTTGTAATTAAATAAATCTACTTTAAAAATTGTATTCGTATGCATATATACATATATACTTATATGTATATATACACACACACTTACTCATTGGCCACTTTATTGGGTACACCTTACTAGTACCAGGTTGGACTGCCTTTTGCCTTCGGTATTGCCTTGGGCCCCGTTTACACTAACACGTTTTAGTTTTAAAACGCATACGTTTTTATTCTAAAATGCTGCTGCTCTGTCTCAGTGTGGATGGGGGAAAACGGAGACATCTGAAAATGGAGGCAGGGCTGCAGACAATCGCCTATCTGATAGGGGCTTTTTCCTCAATATTAAGTAGCCTACACAAAGTTCAGTCTTCTTGCTCTCCTTGTCAGACTTCGCAAGTTTGATATGGAGAACAAACTCCCATGGTCACGTCGGGTAAATATTTAAAGGGAACAGTGTACTTTATAACCTCATTCACATACCCTGGCTACATTGTTTTACTATGTTAACAATAAAATGAAAACATGATATAAGGAAGTGCCTATTTTAATTTTGATATTAACAACATAACAGACCCCAAAAATGTTGTGGTGTCGTGTAGCTACTCATTTATATGACTGTTATCTTCACCGTATGCAAATTTATAACAAAACGGAGCCTTTAACATAACTACCTCCTTTCATTTTCATTGAAAATACGAAACATACCATCTCTTTCGCTGAATATCAGTTTTAATAATCAATAATGCTTGCGCTCTGTGTTCTATTCCCACTTATCACCCTGGCCTATTCATTTAGAACATTCTAACATTAAAAGTTGGAATTATTAAAAATAAAAAAGCATAAAGGTCATCGCTCTTAAGTGTAGTTTGCTTTCAAACTATTTTTTACAGTTCAGTTTTAGCGATCTTAATGTTAACAATCATGCTCTCTTCGCAGTGCATTTTTAAGACATTGATGTTATTTTAAACACAGCCTCATGGCAAAAGCTATAGGTGACCTATTATTTAAAAGCAGAATTTATGTTATGTCTCCAAAGCTTATGAAAACAGAAAGCATACGTTAATTCTTTTCATTTATAGTGGGTTATTTATTAAATGTCTGTACTCTATATGACATGGGCCTGCTGGTTAGAACATTTCTCAAATTGTAAAAGTAGACTTTAAAAAAAATAAAAATGAATAAACAACATCCTACTTATTAATAATATTAACTACTATCATCATCATACTTAAATATTATTAATGTATGTTTTTTTTCATTTCTAAGAAATAATACATATTACATTTCATTTCTTAATAAATTGCCTCATTATTTATTTATTTATTCATATGACTTATATATGATATTAAAATATGTGTTAGCTTTTGTAAGGGATATGTTTTAGAATAGAATATGTAATATTCAACTTCTCAATAATATTAGTAAAGCAAACACAGGCCCTATGTGCCATTTACATATTATCCAGTTAATATGGAAAGCGTGTGCATGTTTTTACCAAATCTAATATTGAACTTTATTTTAAATGTGTGTGCGTGTAAAACAATATAATTTGCACAAAGAAATTATGGGTTTTTCTCTAAAGAAGTTGTTACTCCCAGTTTAGAGCATCATTTTGGGCGTTTTACGTTATAACTAACGTCGTTCAAGCGATGAATCTGCGAAAGAAAAACTACCGGTTTTGGGAAAACACTCGTCACTACATAGTTATTTTCCCAAATGATTGAACCATACTATGATAGTTCAGCCGTTAGTGACATCGTTGTTTGGGAAACGCACCCCTGGTTTCTTCCAAAGATGTAGATTACCCATAGTATATGAGTGTGTGTGCAAATGAGAGACTCAGCTTCAATATTTAAGTGTAGTAAACTTAAACCATGTCTATTGTACTTGAATTATAAGTACTATCAATATCCTTCTTAATTACAACAACTTACACTTGTATTGTCAAGTCCTGCCAACTTTAACCTGAGTTAAGACAACTTTGCTGTTTAAGTGAAAAAAAGTAATGTTTTTAAGGCAGCAATTGTTTTAGTGTTTTTACAGTGAGGGTAGTAAGCTGCATTTAGATCAGCCTTCATTTTGGTATACAGTATTTGTTAGTTTTATTACAGTATTAGTTTTCACAATAAAACCAGCAACTACTGGACACAATTAGACCTTGCAAAGTGCAAGTTACTCAAAATGCCTAATGCAATAGACTATTTTATGCCAACATTAAAAATGACAGCCATTTCAAGGAAAAATGAATTTAATATGAATCTTTCATTTAGGCAAAGAAAAGAAAAAGAAGAAGAAAGACACTAGTAGTGACAGTGATGAGTTACCCTCTTCATCATCTTCATCGTCCTCCCTATCATCATCATCATCTGAAGATGAAAGATGTCACAAAAAAATCCAAAAAGAAGAAACCCCCCCCCAAAAAGGTCAAGATCTACATTCTCCTGTTCAACTGTGAGAGGTAAATACAAGATCAGTACTTTTTGTGAATTGATTCTTGATGAAAATGACTTTGCCATTTTTTTTATAATGTGCAATGCATTAATAAATTATTTATTTAATTTTCAACAGCTAAGTCTCCAGAAGACGTTCTAAAGAGATACAAAAAAGTTCTTCGAGCATACAATAAGGAAGGAAGCATGACAAGAGCTTTCACAAAGGTTGGAGTGGACAGAAACACTCTTGCCCTCTCTGCAGTTATAGCTGAGATTCAAATTGTTGATCCAGAATTTTACCGCTCCCTCCCCCAATTCCAGCCTCAGCAAGAGAAGCTTTTTGAATTTGCTCAGAGGTGCTCGGAGGCCCTGACCACTGAAGTGAAAGCTTCAATTTTCTCGGCAAAACAAAGTGGAAAACTCTTGCCAATTAAATACAAATTTCGCTAAATGCTTATTATTTTGAGGTTTTTTTTTTTCATCTAACGTATGGTTTCCTGTGTTACTGTATATCTAAAGAAATGTGTTTAAACCATATTGTGTGACCTTTTTTGTTTGTTATATTTTCTCAAAATAATTCTAATTTTGTAAAAGTTTCCTAAATACACTGTTTCAGTTTATCTGAAAGTTACAATAAAAATAACTGAATTAAAACTTGTTTTTTGCATATCCTGTAATTATTAGCAAGTTTAAATAAAAATACCACATTTATAATTGTTCACACATTTGTTCTCCCACAAAAGGGCAGGTTTAGTGTATTTTCAGTGTAAGTACATGGTAGTTCCTGTGTATCAACAATGGTTCCTCACTGTATTTTAAGAGGGCAAATTTAGTGTATTTTCTATGTAAATACACGGTTGTTCCTTTGTATCAACAAGGGTTCCTCACTGTATCTTAAGAGGGCAAATTTAGTGTATTTTCAGTGTAAGTACACTGTAGTTCCTGTGTATAAACAAGGGTTCCTCACTGTATCTTAAAAGGGCAGATTTAGTGTATTTTCTATGTAAGTACACGGTTGTTCCTGTGTATCAACAAGGGTTCCTCATTGTATCTTAAGAGGGCAAATTTAGTGTATTTTTAGTGTAAGTACATGGTTGTTCCTGTGTATCAACAATGGTTCCTCACTGTATTTTAAGAGGGCAAATTTAGTGTATTTTCTATGTAAGTACACGGTTGTTCCTGTGTATCAACAAGGGTTCCTCACTGTATCTTAAGAGGGCAAAGTTAGTGTATTTTCAGTGTAAGTACATGGTTGTTCCTGTGTATCAACAAGGGTTCCTCACTGTATTTTAAGAGGTCAGATTTAGTGTATTTTCAGTATAGTACACGGTAGTTCCTGTGTATCAACAAGGGTTCCTCACTGTATCTTAAAAGGGCAGATTTAGTGTATTTTCAGTGTAAGTACATGGTTGTTCCTGTGTATCAACAATGGTTCCTCACTGTATTTTAAGAGGGCAAATTTAGTGTATTTTCTATGTAAGTACATGGTTGTTCCTGTGTATCAACAAGGGTTCCTCACTGTATCTTAAGAGGGCAAATTTAGTGTATTTTCAGTGTAAGTACACGGTAGTTCCTGTGTATCAACAATGGTTTCTCACTGTATTTTAAGAGGGCTGATTTAGTGTATTTTCAGTGTAAGTACACGATAGTTCCTGTGTATCAACAATGGTTCCTTACTGTATTTTGAGGGCAGATTTAGTGTATTTTCAGTGTAAGTACACAGTAGTTAAGTACATATTCCTGAGTGTTCAAATGGTCCCACCCTTTACAACAAAATTTACTTAGTTAACAAGAGTTAACTAATACGTTGACATAATTTATTAATCGTAGTTACTGTTGACCATTGAATTTACTAGATTTGTAATATCAAGTTATGTGTATTTTTACATTATTTAATGCTGTACAACATAAGTGAGAACCATTTTGCTAACATAAACAAAGATTATATATGCCATAAAATATATTTTTCATTGCTATTTCCTCTAATTTTTTGCATATTAACTACTGTTTACAAATAAAACGTTTTGCTGAATAGATGCTGCAGTTTATGTGCATTATTTACAACAGGTGAAGTGCACACCACAACATAAATAAATAAATGACTCTTTCCTAACACAAATAAATTAAATGAATGAACTGAATGAACATTTACAACTGTATGTATTTTGCAAACATTGGTTGCATCTTTGAATAATAAGGATATTGCGCACCTTGCGGTAACCATAAACAATAATTCTTTGTTGTGTAATAGAAGTAAAAAAAATATGTTTGCCAAAAAAAAAAAAAAAAAATAGCAATAGCAAATATGTTGTGTACTTACAAACGTGTACTTAAAAATAATGTACTTACAAATACGTACTTACAAATATGTACTTATAAAATGTGTACTTACACATTAGCCTATATATGTAAGTACACTTTTGTAACTACATATTAAGCCTGTGTGTACTTTAAATGTAAGAACATGAAGGTACAATGTAAGTACACTGTACCAAATGTGTAATTTGGGCTGTAGGTACATAGTTACTAAGGCCACCTAATGTAAAGTGGGACCAAGGTGGGTCAATACAATTAGCCTATTATTATTGTTAATTTTCAAACATATGGTAATATACAATACAAATATCAGGCCTATGTGTTGGTCTACTGTTGTTTAAAATGCTAAATTTTGTATAGTTATTATCAGGGCTTGACATTAACATTTTTGATCACCAGCCACTATGGCCAGTAGATTTCCAACATTACTAGCTACTCGCCATTTTCACTAGCCACAATTTTCTTGTTGGGAAAATATATTTTATATGCTTAAATTTTGACTTTGACATGCTAAAATGACTTGATTTGGATATTGTGTTATGTCCACATGCCTCCTCATTCACTTAACTTCTTAAGTGTATTGTGTATTAGCTTACTCAGTGTGCATGAGCAAATGCATTATGTCGCAATGCAATCAGTTTTTATTTCACACGACTTTTCAGGGCTCAAAACTAAGGATTCAGCAAATTTATATCTGGCCACACCAAATAAGTATTTCTTAGTCACAATTTTTTAATGTGTCAAAACAAGAAAAATATAGCTGTATAGGTGCACTTTTTAATCTAACAAAAATTTTCTTAAAAAAACTTTAAATATTAAATAAAAAAAAGAAGTATTGTCATATATCTAAAATATGCACAGTAATCTGTCTGGCCTAAAGTTCCAGATCACCAGTTAAGTGCAAAAAAACTGGGAGTTAATCTATTAAAGCATTAGTTTTGTAAAAAATATAATTAAACTATATTAACAAATATAACTAACCAAACGAAACATACCATGGTTGATAATGATAGGATGCTCACACCCACACGGTTAATATAGGCCTGTAATAATCTGTTAATAATCTAATAGAAAGAATAATTCAAATAAAAGCAGTGACCACTGCTGCTTACAAAAGAATGTGTATTTTTTAATCTTGAGCTCTTAAAAACATGACTGTGGGTGCACGATCATCGCTCTTTGTCCAGTCTATTTCAAAGGGAACCGATCGCACCAGTTGCGCTTCCTCAACGAAGTTAACCTCCACTCCCCAGCAGCTCTGTCCTGACCTCTTCATGCAGCTCAAAGGACCAAGCTGTCCCGGGAGAAGCTTGCTAATACCCAGAGTTGGACCATAGGCCATCTGGCCATTCAAAGCAGTTGCAGACCTGGACAGTGTCATCCAGCCCAGCACCTCTTTGTGCTGCAAAAGGGATGATTTCTCCCTCTGAGCTATCAACCAAGGCTGAACCTGGACATGGGCGTCCCACGAGACACTTTGAACACACGAGACAGGGATAATTTTCCCCAATTGGCCCGTAGCCAAGGCTGAACCTGGACGTAGCAGGCGTCCACCTTAGTACTAAGGAGACAGGGCTCATTTGCCCCTACTGAAGCTATTTTTACCACACACATAGGAATAATAAAGACACTGAACACCATATGACCGTTAAGTTATATAATATTTATTCAGGACGATTCAGAGTCTTCTGTTGGTTCGAGTGGGTGAGCCCCCTGGCTTTTCCCCTTGGCAGGTCGCAATGGCAGTGTCCTCCTGCTGGTTCCCTCCTGGAAAAGAGACACAAAAAGGCCAGTTAGTCAATGCCAAACGTTCTGCTGTTACCATCCACGCCAAAAAGAAACTGATTTACCAGGGGAGATCCAGGAGTCTCTGTCCTCTTGCGTCCCTTCCGCGAGGGGCTTTCTGTGCCCACTAGCTCCCCCTCCTCCTCCCCATCCTCCTCCACCAGGGCCCTTTCAAATAGTCTGCGGCGCACACGTGCTTGGAGAGGTCCGAGGTGAAGTGAAGTGTGTAGAACTTATCTGAGGTTGAAGTGTCATGGCACATGAATTGCGCCACCTTCCGGCGACCCTCTGAAGAATGTGCATTCTTTGCCTGTGTCGGCGAGAGACAGACAGGCAGAACCTTTTTAGGATCAAAGCTGCTGGTGGTAGTCACAGGAGCATCACATGCATACTCACGTGGGTCGCGATGGCAGTCCGTATGTCAGTAAAGGTCGGTTTGCCGGGAAGCCCCATGCTGGTCCACGCAGATTAAAAGTATTTGTTTAGGGTCCGACAAGGACTGGCTCTGGAAGTGAAAAAGAAATAGGGAGCCTGGCTCCCTCTAGGGCAGGCGTGTCCAAACTACGGCCCGCGGGCCATCTGCAGCCCGCAATCAGTTTTGTCGCGGCCCGCGAGGCTTTTTATAAATATCAATAGAATCTGGCCCGCTATACAAAAATGAACGTAATTCAATAAATAACCACCGGGTGTCGCTATTACATGCATTCAATTAAGCAGCGGTTCTTGATATGATTTATCTATCTATCTATCTATCTATCTATCTATCTATCTATCTAATATTTTTTCTTCTGGAGAAAGACTTATTTGTTGTATTTCGGCTAGAATAAAAGCGGTTTTAATTTTTTTATGAACCATTTAAGGTCAAAATTATTAGCCCCTTAAGTCTTCAGAACAAACCATTGTAATAAAATAACTTGCCTAATTACCTTAACTTGTAACTTGATTAACCTAGTTAAGTCTTTAAATGTCACTTAAAGCTGTATAGAAGTGTCTTAAAAATATCTAGTCAAATATTATTTACTGTCATCATGGCAAAGATAAAATAAATCAGTTATTAGAAATGAGTTACTAAAACTAATATGTTTAGAAATGTGTGGAAAAAAATCTTCTCTCCGTTAAACAGAAATTGGGGAAAAAATAAACGGGGGCTAACAATTCTGACTTCAACTGTATATATATATATAAATATATATATATATATATATATATATATATATATATATATATATATATATATATATATATATGCGTGTCTGTGTGATGTGTGTAAAATTTGGCCCGCGACAACGTTGTTTTTTTTGCATCTGGCCCTCGGCCCAAAAAGTTTGGACACCCCTGCTCTAGGGAGACCAGCCCGCAGCGACAAGAACCTGCGTAACCAGCTGTATTCCTCCCTGTTTAGAGACAACTGCGCTGCCCCAAAGGCTCTGTTTGTCTTATGCATTGTAAGACGCAACTGGCCCAGCAGAGCAGCCCAAGCTCAGATTCGGGCCGGATTATTGAGAAAAAGGAAGCTCTCTGGCTCCGTGGTGCCTCTTGCCATGTAACCCAGAAAGG